TAAAGTAATTATATTTTGTACACCGACCTCAAAATTTTACGAAAAGATAATACAGCGCCTACACTATTATCTAAAGAGTAGCTCAGTCAGTTACTTCTAGTAGCTGACTGGTACGCTCTGGGGCTGACATGCAGGAGGACCCCGGTTCAAATCCCCAACATCGCAAATTGTTTTTCAACGATAATTTGGCTTTAAATCACAGAAAATTCATATAAAATACATAATTTCTAATTTGCAAGTAAAAATAAAACTAATTTTTATATTATTTTTATTTTATAAACTTTTTTAAAAATTGATTCTGTTTCAATCGAACCAGATCTAAACAGATCAGATTTGATCTAATCAGATTAAATTTGATCTGGACAGATCTGGCCAAAATACAGATCTGCTCAGATCTGAATTGATCCGAACAGATCTAAACTTTTTTTCCCGGGTAGCAACATGAAATGATTTTAGAAAGTAGAAGATGGTTTAATTTAAATGTTTTCTCGATGTACATCTGCTTATATTATTGTATAAGCGTAATATGGTTGTGATAGAGGCATTTAAAGATCACAAAATTGCTTGACCTTGACGAGTCGAGTATAAAGTACAATCTCACGCGCTTCGCGCTATGAGGCGTGCAATATCTTTTCAATAAAATTACTGACAATGTTTGTTCTTGTATCGAGAAAATTTTATTACTAATTCATTTTTTTCTCTTTTAAAAAACCCAACAAACTAATTGTTTAGATTATTTATTCATAATTTTACATAGTTCGTGAATATTATTCATGATGTTTAAAATTTTGTAAATATTCCAGATTTATAACTTGTAGATCGGCCAGTTTCTACGCTTTGGAATTTCGGTTTCGGTCAATGCATTCCAAGAATTTAGAGATTGTGTCTTCAGCGTCACTGCCTTCTGGAAAATTGAATTTAATATTAGTAATAGTATAGGCATAGTTATTAATCATACAAATTAACTAAATAAATTCTTTTGACTAAAAATAAATTGAAAAGATTGTTAAAGTAGAGCGGGCCTAGTTGGTCAATTGATTTCTACTCTAATGAGTTCGTAATTTACTCTTGGGGCATTTCATACGAAATGGAAAAATGACTAAAATTTAAAAATTTCTCTAATTCATTCTAATTTAGTCCTAATTTATTATTAAAAGTTTATATTTTACTAATTTGTAAAAAAATTTTTTTTTAACAATAAGAAAATCGATTTTTCTCTCCTACAAGGAAAAAAATTTCTGGGAAAATTTACGATACAACTATTGTAAAGCTGGACTATACGTTTTTACTATTAATTTTCAAATAGTTTCGAAGAAAATTTACTATTTATTCATGAAATTTTACAATTTACGATTAGAAAAAATACGATATTACTATTGTAAAAAGTAAGAATTAAAATTTCCAGTGCTGCCTCTGTATCTCTCCAATAGAACTATAACAAATTTTACAATAGTTGAATTGGAATGTTTGTCAATTAGTGTGAGCGATGGCCGTGCACAGCGCTAGACTCCGAGTTTATGTAAATGTTAAAGGACATGGGTACTAGTTTACCTCGGATAGCGTAGAGGGAGAGTCTCTGGCTGCTAACAAAGAGTTCTGGGTTCGATTCCCGGATAGGACGAAAATTCCGATTTCTTTTTTCGGTTACTGTATTGGTACCAATTAGTCCAACCTCCTATCTCTCTCCCTCCCTAAAATTTCTTTTTAAAAAACCGACTGTCAATTTTTACAATAGTTGAATTGTAAAGTTTTCAAACACATATTGTATAATTTGCTCTATATTATTCGACTTTTTAAGTTTCTTGCTAGCCTTGCTTGTTGGATAAAATTTACAATAGTAGATCATAAAATTACTAAATGAGAAGTACAGTCCACCGTTACTATTTAATCCTTTAGTAAAATGTTGATGAGACGTTTTCATTGTTGTCGCTTTTCGTTGCCATGGTAACCGTTGCTATGCAAAGATATGCAAATTGAAGCTTTCATAAATAACTATATACTAATCATTAAATTTGTATCATATTTGAGATTTATATATTTATTAAAAAGTTGATGTGCCTTTTTATTGTTGTCTCTTTTCGTTGCTATGGTGACCTTTTTTGGCAAAGGTTATCATAGCAACGGGTACCATGGTAACGATTAAATATTAATGAGTCAAATTTCTAAAAATATTGATTAATTCAATTGTCAATAATCAAAATTTCGACAGAAGCGCGTTCGATTTTCTTGTTTAATAAAAATTACTTAATTAATTTTTTTTCCGAGTAGATAATATAAATTATTCTCAAACTTCTATCATAACCTTTCCTTCTATAGTGTCTTCTATCATAACCTTTTACTATTAAATTTAAAAAAATCCGTTTAAAAACGGAGCTGTTACGTATTGTGGTGGGACTAAAACTTCGTATAAGTTTGAGGGTTATACAAGTATCGCTGTGCTACCGAATACTTACTTTCGTTAACGCAGTTATTAAAATACTCCAATGCTTGATTACTCTCAAAAAGTTCATCCGTCACTGCTACGAAAACTGTCAGGTATTTTTTGAGAACTTCCGCGTCTATTGAGTTGTCTGATTTTATCTGTAAGAAAATCTTCGTCAACTTTGGCAAGCATCAAGACGGATCTTTATGTGTAGGTATAAAATTCTTACGGTTTTTAAAGTTTTGAGAATACAAATATTACCAAGACGTTGCTCTTCATCTGGATCCGTTATCGTTGAATTTGAGTCTATCAAAGCCAAACAATACTGAACTCCATCCTTATAAACTTTGTAATCTTCAAGCGTGAACTAAAAGTAGAAATGGTAATATTGTATTATTAGTTGAATACTTAAGATTTCAGATCATTTTTCATGGATTATTGTTGTATAGTACTTACCAGATTGAGTTTTTTTATGAAGCATGCTAAATATTCACTAATACCGTAATTAGTTACTATATATTTTTCCTCGGGGAGTAGAGAACGATAGTACTCGTTCTGCTGTTTATCATTTGATGAATCGTTTAAATATTTACATTCTTGATATGTGGCCAATAAAATATCATTGTAGTTGACAGGTTCCTGAAAAAACATTAGCCAGCGGAAATATTAATCATAATTAAAAATATTTTTAATCAATTTTTAAAAATTTAGAATACAATGAAGTGAACCATGAGTGGTTAAAATAATAAAATATAATATTTATTCTTCCTAATTATTTTCTTAAGCAAAAAAGATATATATATACTAGCGTCTTAAATTTAGAAATTTTAGAAATGAGCTTGTATAGTTAAAAACATAATTAGTTAACAATATGCAATGGGCATTCTTCAATAATTAACATTTTCGTAAATATAAGCCCATTCTGATTTTATACTGATCAAGAGCTTTCATTTGAGTACCCACATGCATTTTTTATATATTTTATATATTTCACAAATACCATATATATAAAATATATGAAAAATGTTATGTGGGTACTCAAATGAAAGATCTCGATTAGTGTTACATCGGTATGAGCTTATATCTTTCGAAACTTCAATAATTAAGAAATGACATTGTATCTTGTCAACTAATGAGATTTTTAAAGATATAAGCTCATCCTGATGTTATACTCATCAAAACCTTTCATTTGAGTACCCATATCAATTTTTCATATATTTTATATATTTATATATATTATATATATGTATATATGAAAAATATATCAAAAATGCATGTGGGTACTCAAATGAAACCTCTTGATAAGTGTTACATCGGAATGAGCTTATATTGTTAAAAACATCATTAGTTAACAAAATACATTATCATTCGTTAATTATTAATATTTTCATAAATATAAGCTGTATTTTAGAAGCATATTGGTCAGTCACGCGCATCATTTAAAGTAAAAATATTGTAACTTCGTTTGTAATTAAATTATTACAAAAATTCATGAATAATGAATTAGCTGTATAACTTAAAAAGTACATATTTGGAATTTAAAAATGCTGATAAAATATTTGATTATATCCCTTAATATATTCAAATATTTTATCAGCATTTTTAAATTCCAAATATTTACTTTTTAAGTTATGCAGCTAATTCATTATTCATGGATTTTTGTAATAATTTAATTACAAACGAAGTTATTACAATATTTTTACTTTAAATGATTTGCGTGACTGACCAATGTGCTTCTAAAATACAGTGGTAATGGTTTTGTGGCTCCACCTACTGTCGTATATTGAAATTCTAAACTGAAGACCAACTACTTATGGGCGCTAAGTTCAGTATTTAGTATACTAGCTATTTAGATGGTAGAATAACAGAGTTAAGTAGTGCCAACTTCGAAATAATAAAATTCGCCTTAAATTTGTAAAATCTCTCGTAGAATCGAAAACAGGCGCAAGTAAAAATTTTCAAACTCGCGATTAGTTAAATAATTGTTAAGACCCAACATTTTTTTGTAATATATGTATAATTGGTAAAAAGAAACTTATTAACAATGGTGTAAAGTGTTAGTGTCTTAGTAATAATAAAAAATATAGAGCTAAATATGTAAAGAGGTTATGTTGACATATGATTAGAGAATAAAGACACGTTGTCTCACGCCATATGTTGGACGTGTACTTGGCGCGAGACACTATCGTGTCTTCGGATCTATATTCACAAATATGGAGTGATCATATATAGGTACATGATCATCTATTGGGGCTTTTACCTCATACATATTTTTTTTTCAAATTTTTAATTATAATTAATTTATAAACAAATAAATAAAATCATTATAATAATGATTAAAATAAAATATTATCAAAAATAATAAATTAAATTTTTAATAATTAAATATAAAAAAGGTTTATAAAAATATTTTCTTTACAAAAATTTATTCATTTCTAAATTCATTTATTTTGGGAGTGAATGCGGAGTGAATTTTATTATTAATAAAAATTAACTTTTTCTCGGAATAAATATCACTCCCGCTGGGAGTGAATCAATTAAAAATCATTCACTCCGCAAATTTTTTACAGTGTAGCATTAATTAGTTTTTTGCACGTCACCAAGTATAACATCATAATTCTAAAAATTTTTTAAATAATTTACTCACTGCGCTTGTAACTGCAGCTAGAAAAAACCAGGCCAAAACAGTAGAATACAGAGCCGCCATTTCTAAATAAATTTCAAACCTTCACAGTAGTTATATTTTCGTTTTTATTATAATTTTTTTGTTCCTCAACGGGTTTTTATACAACCCTTCTCAATTAGAGCCAACTCACTATTTTTTTTTCCGTTCCACCAATGGAAAATTTACACGCTCCGATGAGTCAGAATTTGATAAAGTTTTTCAGGTCTTAAAAAAAAAAAAACAAATAATAAATGTTATCGTCCTTTGCAAAATTTTATTACACTTGCATGAATATTTTTCCAATAAATCGAAGACGATAATTTTTTTCTGACACGTTTTAGTCGTAATTTATAATTTTTTAATACAATAATTTTTTTATTATCTCTTTTAGAGTCACTTTTTTGTATAGTTTCGATATTTTAAATAATATTCAATAAAGACGCTGACAAAAATCAATATTTATTTTTTTTAATCACTTTAAGAAGAAAATTAAGGAAAAGAGTTGACCCTTTAGGCTTTTATAAATAAACCAAACTCAAAAGTAGAAAATAAATAATAGTTTAAAAAAATTAAAAAAAACACGCTTTATATGGGTGATTCTCTGTAAGGACGTCTTAAATTGGATTTTTTTTGGCTTTGAACTTCTGGCAGGGGACTGTTCTTAAAACACCTGGGCCAAACTTTGGTTTAATGAATTTAATGGAACAAATTAATTTTCGGTATTTTTTATTGAAGAAGATTGTTAATTAACTAATTAAGTTTATAAACATGATGGACAAAATTATATATTATGAAAAATTATATAATAACTTAAAATTTAATTCTAAAGTTTCAATTTTGGGAAAGGGGGACAGCCCAGGAGACTGTTATTTTGGTGGTTTACGAATTAATAGCAAAAAAACCAAAATTTATTTCATTTAAGTTTTCAATGCTCCAAATAGAAATGTTTTTTTACTTTCGTAATAAATTTTTCTACTCATATCTGTCAATAAAATATTTATAATTATTGACATCATGGTCCCCAAATCAATTGTCCAGATATAAGAAAATATCTTTTCAGTAAAATTACTCACAATATTTGTTCTTGTGTCGAGAAAATTTTATATTAATAACTAGATGACCCGGCAAACGTTGTTTTGCCATCTGAATTATTCTAGAGTAAGAAAATAAATCTTATTTATTGTAAGTGTGTGCGTATGTGGTATATGAGTGGAAGATCTCTATAAAACGTAATATACTCATTTTTAGGACGATTTCTGAAATTAAGTTCTAAGATGAGCAAAATCTGTCGGTTAGTTATTAAATGAAAGCAATTCAATAATTTTCGATACTCCATAAAATTTTCACTTTTACCATATTTCCGTGCAATATACAGTAAAAAATTTTGCGTCAAAAAATTTTGTGTTAAAAATTTTTATGTTATATATTTAACACTTTTTTGTGTTAATTTAACACAATAAATGGTAAATTTACACATAAAAGTGTTGAATATTGAACACACAAATTTTTAACATGAAATTTTTTGACGCAATAACGCAAAATTTTTTACTGTGTAACAATTAAATGCAATTTTATATTCAATTTGTGTAAATTAGATCTGAAGGCTTCCCAGGTAGGGTTAGCCAATGCTGACAAATGGCCCAGCCTTGGACCATTTGTTACTTTGCCAAGCCTTGGTAAGTTACCAGTGGCCCAGGTCTGGTCCGAGGTTTGGCCCAATAGTTCGACATTCTCAAGCCGAGCCTTGGGGTGCACCACTGGCCTAAGCCTGGCCTGAGGCTTGGCCCAATGGTTTAATATTTTGGAACCAAGCCTTGGGAGATCACGACTGGCCGAAGCCTGGTCCGAAGCTCAGCCCAATGGTTCGACATTCTCAAGCCGAGCCTTGGGGTACACCACTGGCCCGAAGCTTGGCCCAATGGTTCAATATTTTGGAACCAAGCTTTGGGAGATCACAACTGGCCGAGGCCTGGTCCGATGGTTGGCCCAATATCTCGATACATTTCAACCAAGCCTTGAAAAATCACCACGGACTTAAACCCGGTTCGATACTTGGCCCAATACTTCGAACACTGATAGAATTTATTAGAATTCAATAAATGACTTGTCAACAAAAAAATTTTAATAAATATAGTTATTAATCGTTGACAGATTATTTTTAACTATCATTTCTTTGTTGCTGAAAAATGTATAAAACTCTCAAAACTGCTCAAAAAATATTTTCCATGTGAATAAAAAATGATAAATTTAATACTGATACATATTGTGAATATTTTAAAAATGTTTATTTCTCTCCAAAAAAAAATATTGAAAAAAATTGTTAACAAGTAAGTTTGTTTATCAATTACTAAGTCGAATAAGAACATAATACCCAGGTAGGGTTAACCAATGCTGACAAATGGCCCAGCCTTGTACCATTTGTTACTTTGCCAAGCCTTGGTAAGTTACCAGTGGCCCAGGCCTGGCCCGAGGCTTGGCCCAATGGTTCAATATTTTGGAACCAAGCCTTGGGAGATCACGACTGGCCGAAGCCTGGTCCGAGGCTCAGCCCAATGGTTCGATATTCTCAAGCCGAGCCTTGGGGTGCACCACTGGCCTAAGCCTGGCCCGAAACTTAGTCCAATGGTTCAATATTTTGGAACCAAGCCTTGGGAGATCACGACTGGCCGAAGCCTGGTCCGAGGCTCAGCCCAATGGTTCGATATTCTCAAGCCGAGCCTTGGGGTGCACCACTGGCCTAAGCCTGGCCCGAAACTTAGTCCAATGGTTCAATATTTTGGAACCAAGCCTTGGGAGATCACGACTGGCCGAAGCCTGGTCCGAGGCTCAGCCCAATGGTTCGATATTCTCAAGCCGAGCCTTGGGGTGCACCACTGGCCTAAGCCTGGCCCGAAACTTAGTCCAATGGTTCAATATTTTGGAACCAAGCCTTGGGAGATCACGACTGGCCGAAGCCTGGTCCGAGGCTCAGCCC